CCACTTGTCACGAGAGCCACCTCTTGTGCAACAGCTATCAGATATTATTATTTAATTCAGCTTGGATTTTCCTGTTGATCAGTCAATCAACGAAATGCGCATCCTGGATTCCACTGCTAGTCATCATTGACCAAATAACTTCAAGTTTACCTATTTCCTTGTTAATACTTTGATGGTAGGAGTAGTGGACTGTTATTGATACAATGGTTGATTATTGAAGGTGAGATAAAAGTCCACATCACGATATTTTAAAAATCAACAACAGTTCAAAGCAGTATGATAATATGCGTCATACTGCTGAATGATTTGAGCTTTTCGAGACTAATTACTTCAAATAGTAGGGTTTGCTAGATAGAATGAAGCAATTTGGACATCAGAGATTCGTTTCAGTCGTTTGAGTTTGAGCTTATCATCGATGCACTGCATATGACTGAACTCAGAGAAGCATGTGCGACACTAGCCAATCACATAATAAAGATGCAATATTGTATTCATTAGTTTTACGATTGTTAATGCCTTTAAACACTTGTCTACGTTGTCCCTTAACTATAGATTTGAGAAAATAATAGTATTAGCCTTATTCTGAACAAAATGTTGACACAATATATACAGAATTCACAGCGTAATTTATTGCATAAAAAAGGCCAAGAGATCTGAAGAAAATAATTTCTTATGGTATTTTGACTTCATTCCGAAGAAATGCTCGCCAGTAGGTTGAGAATCAGTTAAAAATGTGCATGCGTACCCTCTGAGACCAAGATAAGTGAGTGGTTAAACTAGCAAGCAATAGAGAAAATCTTATGCATTATTTTGAATGAAAATTCAGGTATCCCCACAATTCATACAGGCTGCCAGTATTTTTTTCGGTAAACTGGTCCGAACTTCTTCAGCGATTCGTTTGCAATCTATTTAAGCAAATTTCATACTTATGGATGCCTTTTCATTTTATCACCACACCATAAAGTTCAAAAAATCTTGTCTAAAATAAGTCATAACTGAGCTAAATGTCTTATTATAATTTTGTAGAACAATAACTTCGAACAAAAACTGGATACATTGATATTGAGCAACTGGAAAGAAATGTCTGATTGATTCCCCAAGAATTAAATCATTTTACCACACAGAATATGACTTCACTGATAACTCGGCTGCTAAAACAATCCGTAAAAAATTGAACACTTTAATCAGTCTCATCTACCTTTCAGAGTATTGGAGAAAAGAGGACTTAGCGATTGATCTGGACGCACTTATTTCATGAATTCATATATTATATGTATGAATATGTAACTTTTCCAGAGTTCGTTTACAGGTATTTGATTTGTCTGAAGTTTGATCATGGATTAATATCAGTTAGAAAACCATTGAAAACCAGGGAATATTGGGTTTCGAACCCAGGACATCCTGATCACAAGGCGAGTTCGTAGAGCATTCAACAGCTGGAACGCTATCCTATGGCCTATGAATCCCAGTTTAGTATTTTAGCACAACTGTCGGTCAGTGTCATCGGTGGGTATCTGTCCTCGCTCTCTAAATGACATAAATCCATAATCCGACTTGAAATAGGTGACTTTTGTTGTACCGACTCAGTAACTGTGTACAGTTCAGAGGTCACAAAGACTCTTCTACAAGCGATCTTGTTCATTCCTTTGAAGGCATTTAATTCATGATTAATTCATCGTTTAGGTTACTGAAAGTTTTCATTAATGGATCTAGAAAATTTATCTTAGTTTGATATTTACTGTTCACATTGAGGATGGTGTTTGACCGGTCTAATCGTCGTATCTTCATTCAACCAATGGGTTCTAATTTCCGTAGTCCACTTCAAGAATTACACGCGAGGCACCCATATAGTATCATATGTCCTCGTATATAGCGTGTAAGAAAAGGCATACCATGTGAACTTGTACCAGTTTATTAAGTTAAATCATTCGCACCTCTTTCATAAATCTTTCTGAGCAGTGAGTCGGGATTTGCTTATAATTTAATTTCACGTTGAATGGCACTTTAGTATTGAATTCTAACATTGACGGGGTGTTTTATGAGAATGTGTTGTTAACTGTACACACATTTCACTGAACTTCAGATGTTTGTATGTATCATTCCCATTATCTAGATTAATATCTGTACTTATTTGTAAATAAATTAAGAAGCAGTTCGTTCACTATGTACTAACTAGGATTTATGCTCAGGAGCACTCAATAAAAAGAAGGATTGTAGTAGATGTGTAATAGCAGAAGACAAGAGACTTGATAATGGAATGTTTATTTGGAATTTCATATCTCTATTTGGGGTACGTCAGTAGCCAGAGCCTATCCTGCAGCTAAGTTGGTTCCCGTCCATCGAACAACATTCTCTTTGGTGCAGTCAAAAGTCGACAGATACCCTTCTCATGTTAACTCCAACTGTGTATACAAATTTATGTGTATCTACGGGAGCAGTTACATTAGGAGAACGAAAAAAGGGCATACCTCCGATTTTCTGAACATGTGCCGAAAAGCCTATGTCTCAAGGCAACAAACTCTTATAATAGCTCTATTACCAGACATCTCGATACGGGTCATGAGGTGGAAATCGGAAATCCTTTAAAATTTTCAATAGACAATGGAGCTCGTTTCTCCACAAGTTTGCCGAGGCGATTTCTATCAAACGATTGACACCAGATTTACGTGTCCACAAAGAAGCAGTTATTAGTGTTTCCTTGCCATGGTAACGGAATGTCTTTATTCTTTCATTTGATTACGTAATCTTTGGCTTTAATCTCACCCCTCTTTTTTATAATCTGTAATTTTGCTTGTCTCTTGTTTCTATGATTTGAGTTGAACTCAGTACATTGTTACCTAATTTATTAGTCACTCAGCATCTTACGCAACTCTCATCTTTATTACGTAACTCTTCTACCATTGTATGTATACAATTATGTTGTTTAAACTTGAAACGCCTATGCAAAAACTATGTAAGCGCAATTTTCCGAGCACTGTTCACTAACTGCGGAACTTTCTGTCAACTGACTTCATGAAAAATTTGCAAGTATGCTAAAACGTTTCTGTAGATAAACCTCATAATTTATTTGGGCTGTAAGCAGCTGAGCTGATGAGAAGCCTACGAAATAAATGATGGTAGCATATTATTCTGCACAAACCACTGTTGTTCTTGCTTTATTCAAACTCATCAAGGGGAATAAATGCATGAGGTTGGGGGAAATTGTGTACACTTTATACGAAAATCGTCATTTGCACAGATCTCCCGTGTTGTGCTGTGGGGTTTTCTACTGACAGGACTTAAGAGTAGTATGTAAAGATACATTCATCGACACTAGCAGATCAAATATCGAAGAGATAGATGTGACGTCAAAGAGAGCAAATGAACCAGTGTTGCTGCACAACATTGGAGACTCAAAAAGAAAACAAAGAAACACACATACGAAAGGCAGAAGTAGTACAATACTGAAGATCTGTGCAAATAGCGATTTTCATATAAGGTGTACATAATTTCCCTATATGTGTATATCAAACTGTAAATAAGCATTCCGTTACCAAGTTTACTGTCTTCTCCCGCTACAGTGCTACTTCTTCCCTTCGTATTGTGTTTCTTTGTCTTCTTTTTGTGTCTCTCATGTTCTGCCGCAACGCTGAATCATTTGCATTCTTTGACGTCAAATCTATCCCTCCGCTATTTGATATTTTTTATGCCGATGAATGTCTCTTCATATACTACTAACAAATCTTGTCAGTAGCACACGTCACAGTAGTAACAGTGTTGTATTATCATGGTAACCAAAATTCAGACAGTAGTAGCAGTGATATGGGTGTTATGTAAACCCACAGTGTTATTAGTCTATATATTCATCTAGAAAACTCAGGAAAACAGGATTAACAGAAGTATGATTTGACATCCTCAGATAAACAGGAACAACCACTACAATTAGAGTAAAGAATAAGGCCATCATATGTACCTGCACACTAGAGTAGAAACCAGATTGACAAGTCAGTGTAACTCGTTGTATCATGAACACACTAAATTTATAAATGGACTGACAGTAAGCGACATGCTGCTAGTTCACTCAAAATTCATAGGATTATGAGTAAACTAGTATTTGGACACATCTATTCTGATGTATCTGAATACCTCAACAGCACAACTTCTAACTTTTCATCCTTTTTCTTTTCAAATAAGCCCACTAATGAAGTATAACCTTTAGCTGATAAGTTAAGTAACTTGATGAACTCATTAAAGACAAACTAATAGGTGAACTGATATTGGATGTCTTCTGGTTGATTTTCGTTGAATTCTGTCAGTCAAGATTTCAGTATGGTCACGGTGGCATAGCGGTTAGGACGCTCGCCGACCATGCACATGGTCCGGGGTTCGATCCCCGGCCGGTGCATTCCTTTACCTCACTAAGCCAGAAATAAAGCTGGTGAAGAGGAAAGGTTGAGCATGAGGCTAGCAACCCCATCCTGTAAAAATAAACACTGCTACAGAAACTCCAAGCCTCTAGCTTGAAGCCCTATGTTCCACTGGGAACGTGAAGGAATAAAAAACGGAACTACTTGACTCACTATTACAGTACACCTTGAATAGATTTAAGATAATTTGAAGCAGTTTGAACGGAAATCATTCCCTTCGATAGTTACTGGTGCTTCTTTTTGTTGTTGTTTGGAATGCAGACACATTTTTCTGAGGAGTACTAAACAGAACAAAACATCAATCCCGGATACTACTGCTAACTACCATTAGACACGTAACCTGGAGTTATTAATTCTAGTAATATGAAGCCATACATTAAAAAAGCCCATTTACGGAAATGATGTCTAGCAATTCAGTGGATATGTACCAACTGAAAATTATGAATACGGATAAGAGATGATAATCACACTTACTTACTTCAAACTTATTAAACTAATTCCACTTATATTCCTAAAAATCGACATTTTTCACTGGGTTGTTAGGAAAATTTAATTACAAACATTTACCTTATCTCATTTTGCTTGAAATTCTAGGTGAACATTTAGACGAGATTAGAGAAATTGAATTTGTTCATAATATGAGAGAAATGATCAATGGAGAATTTCGTCATGAAATAGATCAATTTGGATGGACATTCTTCAAAGCTATTGAAGTTGACAATAGTGGTTTTATATCACAAGCATCCTATCGAACTTTACAAGAGGCTTGGCATGTTGGACGGGAAGAAGCTGAAGGAATGTTTAAAGTAGGTTATCACGACAACTGGTTTTAATATTCTTTACTTTTATTGGAATATATATATTCAAATTGGTTTTTATTGGTAGATGTTGACTAGTGGTAAAATATCAGATGCATATTTCGTCCCATTCAGGATTCGTCACTGGATGTATCTACGTTTCTAGTGAGTGATGGTGTCCCCATTGAGAGTGGGACGTAGCGCCTCAGTAGCACCTTTTCAAAGCATCGAGTTCTATGCCATCAATATTAACAGGCTCTATGACTGCACACATGCTTTCATTATCTCCAGGTCGTCCTCAGACGCCCAAATGGGTACTTTTTGGTATGATACCACTTAAGGGTCTGCATATTTGTTGGGTGGTAAGCTGTCACTTCTCCTGGTTTACTAGTGCACTAGTTTATAAGCTGATTGTAGGCCTGAAAAGGGAGAGGAGGTTCAGGGTGGGGCTAGCATTCCTACCTTGACAAGATAATCTAATAGCTACAGAAACTTCATCTCAAAACGTATTTTGGACTACATAAACGATGTTGCCTCCTTTCGAGAATAAACCAACTGCTGTTTCTCTTTAGTGTTTTGATACTGAGGAGAGCCCTGGAAATTGTAATGAAGACAGTTGTCACACTAACCAAAACACGAGAATGAAAAACCAAAAAGGATCGCAGAAGAGACATTGGTGGGGGGTATCAGCACAACGCTTTCTACATTATATTTTATCCCATATTATATTAATTAGTTCACAATTTATCAGTGTATATAGGTAGAACTGAACAACCGTTTAGTGTGGTGCAGTTTTCGGCATCTCGTTAAAGGATATTCTTGACTAAACATACTTATATATTAATCGAGTCATGATAAACCAATCAGAAGAATTAAAGCTGCTTATTTAGTCAAGAGGATAATCCAGATATCACGTCTGAAGTGTATTTTTTGAAGTGTATGGTTACACTAATTTGGTCAGCAGTTCTCAAGTTCTTTAGTCTTTTTGAATGCCTAGATCTAGTCTTAGTTACTTTTATCTTTACTAGTGTCACTGTAGAATGGTCAGATTTTCAGAGGTCTATTTAGTTTCCCTGCAGGGATAATATTTCTCCACGAATCCCTTAAGAAAGCTCAGAACCGCTTTAGATAATATGATGGTGTCTTGTTTGCAGACTGCTGAACAATTCCAAACTGGGACGGAAAAGCTGTGATGTTGGTTTGTGAAGAAATCTACCGTAAACTCAGTAGGATCCCACAGAAAATTTACACCTAGTAATTTCAGGATATTTTTCAGTACAATTTTAAAAGTAACTCATTCACACTATTTCTGTGAGTAGTGCCCATAATGGATAGAGATTAAAACAGCTAGTTCAAAAGACGAACAAACTTTGATTAGATTAGAGGTGAAGAATCCAATAAAAATTTTCATTCAATTTCTACTCATCCAACCAGCGCCAAGACATATGGCGAAACACATTAGACTAGTTAATAACTAGTTTCCAAACAAAATATCTAATGCAGTCTTACAGGAGGCCAATCGCGAGCCCCAATGGCTCAGTGGTAACGTCCTTGATTACAGCACCAGGTGACTCAGGTTTGAATATCAAAAGGGACATGAGTTCCTTCAGGACTGAAAAATAAGCCTTGCCGACTGGTGAGTGGTAAGAAGCACGGAATTTAAATCCAAGGCTTCCTGTCGATTTCCTCCAACCATCTAATATCAACAATTCAAAGTGCACTGATATGGCGTGCCACCTAGCATGGTGGCGACACTGAAAACTCGACCGATAGAATTAGGTCTTCACCTAGCAAGGACTAGACACATGATGCTAGTTACTAACTAGTGCGCATGTTCTTTTGTGCCAAAACAACACATGCTATAGTGCTGATCGACTAGGCAGGCGACGACTAGTGTCGTCATTGATGGTGTTACCAAAATGCTGTCTATGCCAACCAACATCTATGCTTCTGTGCCGGTCGACTGGTCAGGCCAACCATCACCCAGTGGCATTTCTCAACACACCAGAACAATATATGTGCATCAATTGGGTACATGTTCAAGAATCTTGTAATGATCCTTCCCAGGTGAACCTGCGGAAACCTTGTTACGACTTTTACTTCCTCCAAATAGTCAAGTTTGGTCGTCTTCACGGCATCAGTCGAGCGGTAAACCCACTGCAACGACACCAATCCAACGGCTTCACTAAACCATTCAATCGGTGGTGGTGACGGCCGGTGTGTACAAAGGACAGGGACGTAATCAGGGCAAGCTTATGACTTGCACTTACCAGGAATTCCTCGTTCACGGGGAATAATTGCAAGCCCCGATCCCAGTCACGACGGTGATGAAACAGTTTGCTCAACCCTTTCGGGCCAGGTTCCCAGACTCGCTGGTACCGTCATTGTAGCGCACGTGTGGCCCCGGACATCTAAGGGGATCACAGACCAGTTATTGTTCAATTTCGTACGAATTCGATGTGCCGTCTGTCCCTCTAAGAAGTAAAAACTGGCACCGTACCCGCCGGATCACGACCACACTACTCCATAAGAAGCAACAGAAGCCGCGCCCTGAACGAGCACAGAGGACCAATCTACTATTTAGTAGGTTAAAGTCTCGTTCGTTATCGGAATTAACCAGACAAATCGCTCCACCAACTAAGAACGGCCATGCACCGATCAAGGTATACATTTTATTCGTTTACTTTCGAAGTGGAACATAAGGCTTCAAGCTTTAGGCGTTAAAATTTCTGTAGCGTTGATATGATTTTTTTTCAGAGCTGGGGTTGTTAGTCTCATGTCCAACCTTCCTTCCTTTATGGGCTCACTACCGACCAGAAGAGGTTAAGGAGTACTTCCACCGGAAACTGAATTCACTCAATATTCTATAATTTTTGATATATTTTGCAGCTGATGTCTTTGACTCTTATTATTATAACTAAATAATATTGTTTTTATTTATATTTTAGATGATTGACAATGATAAAGACGGAAAAATCAGCAGTGATGAATTTCTTACTGCATGGAATGAATATTTTCTCAGTGAAGATCCACAAAGTCCGTATAGAATGTTTTTTGGACCAGTTATTTCAAGACCAACAGAAGCCCGATAAATACACATCAAGTTATATCCTTCATGCCGCCCTGTCCCTATTGCCTTCTGAAAGGTGAAAATTGAAAATTTAGAATGAAAAAAAAGCGTTCTATTCTTAACAATATTCTCTTAGACTATATATACATAAATATCTATTATGCTGCTACCACTGAAATTCGCCTTATTTTAGCTTGATTTATTCGTTTGTACGAAACACTCTTTGTGTTTATATATATAAACAAACACTACTTGATCATTCTGTATGAAATCAACACTCTGATTGTCTCAAGCAAAAAGACATCAGTAGTTTTTTTTTATTTTCCACACCTTTAGATTTTGATCTACTTACTTATTTGCTTTACCGCTTCAAAATGGTCAGACAAAAAGTTGAAGACCTACACTGTTGAACTGATTTGCATAAGAAGGTGCAGTTTTATCAATACAACGACAGCAGCAGTTTTTGTCTTCTTTTGTCTAAGTAATTATTATTACCACGAACCATGTGAATTTGACTTTGAAAAGAATTCATAGCTGTCAAATGATATCGCAGAAATGCATATCTTGATTCGCAGTGAATCGTCGATGGCTGGATTTCTGGATTTCTGTTCTCTCCTTTCTACTTCTGCTCACTCTGCGTCATTTTAGATGCGCTCTGTGAGGCACACGCACACACAACTTTAGCTTATGGTTTTTGTTGTCTTTATCTTTCTGGTAGTATTCCAATTGATTCACTACAACTTTGAAATAGTTCAACGATATGTTACTGCATGTATTACAATAAGGTTTCTTTGACATTTGAATATTACTCAACAAGAAAAAGATATATACATAGAATAAAGTTCTGTTTTGATTTCGTTTACATTTTTGGAAAAAAATATGGGTAGAAATGAAGAAAATACTGTGAGTTGTTATGGAAACAGAAAAAGTCTGAGGATTTCTAATTTAAGAGTCAGAGATGTGGCGAGCCCTTCTCGAGAAGTATTTCCAACAGAATGCCTTCCCTGCCTTGATGGAAAGGAGGTATAAGCATCATGGAAATCTGGCAGTGAGCGAACCAATGGGTGAAGACTTAGCACCCGACAGAAATACGCAGAAGGAAATGGAGATGGGTTGGACATACACTGAGGAGTCTGTCGAATGACATCACACGCCCGACCCTCAAGTGGGAAATGACAACTTGGGCGTCTAAGGGTAACATCATAGAGAAAATCGTGTGAAGAGGAAACAGAAGCACCTTGACAGTCGTCGAATCAGGTAAAATTGACTGCAAAGAACAAGGTATACTGGATATAAGGATACGATTTCGGTACTGTGGTAGAGTATAATTCCATTATGGATAAAAGTTTATTCTGATTAAGTCACACAGTGTGTTATACAGTAATATTTACTGGTGACCATGTTTCGAGCACAACTGATTACTGCTCATAATCATATCAAGGCACTCGCACATAACTTTCTTACTTCGTTTATATACATGAGTGAAAACTGATTAGACATATAAATAAAATCCATATAAGACATGCATGAAACAGAAAGGAAGATAAAGTACATTCGGAAACAATATTAGTGTTATTAATAATTATAATATGATGGGAATTAAGACAAGTGTTGTTAGTCTATCTACTATGGAAGATAAATTACATTAGAAAGTAATATTTGCGTTATCAATAAAATACAATAGCGTGGGAAATAAGACGAGTGTTGTTAGTCAAAAAGATGGGAAATAAGATGTTTTTATAGTAAAAATAAGTAACTTGTTAGAAAGTTATAATGTGAATTGAATACATTTTAAGATTATTAATTATCCTCTGATTTGACTGGTAAAAATATCTTCCACATACCTGGTATTTGCGTTCAGTCACTTGTATTGCATATGTTGAGTGTAGATTATAACATGAATCAGAACTCGGTAATCAATCTTTATCTCCACCTACTTATAATACTTCTTAGAATTTTGACTCTGTCCCACCATACCTATTGTGTGGTTGTGTGTTAATACATGCAGTGTGATTGCTGATTTGTTTTTCTAAATTACTTATCATCATGAGGTCAGTCATTCTAACCTTAGCTGAACTCTTATGTTCTGTTAATCTGACTACTCCTGATTTATGCAGTTGACTTAACTCACAGTCATTGCAAGGTATTTTGTAAATTATATTATTTTGTTTAATTGGATCCACAAGGTCTTATCTAGGCATGGATTCAGGTGCGTTGGTGGCATAGCGGTTAGGACGCTCGACGACCATGCACATGGTCCGCGGTTCGATCCCCTGCCAAGCCCTCCTTTACCTCGCTGAGCCAGAAATAATGCTGGTGAAGAGTAAAGGTTGGGCATGAGCCTAGCAACCCCATCTTGTAAAATAAACACTGCTACAGAAACTTCAAGCCATTAGCTTGAAGCCCTATTTTCCACTGGGGAAGGTGAAGGAAAAAAATGGATTCAGTTAAAATTTTGTAGCATATCTATTATCCCTATTCGTCTTGTTATTAGTGTTATTTTTATTTCTAACCAATCGATGAACTTATTTTCTTTTCAAATTTATAATTAGCGGGGTAAATTTAAATTAACTCGATAAGATACTTCCCTAAATAGTCTACTAAATCTGTAAAAGGGAATGTCAACATTTATCTTCAATTCTTTTGAAAAATTACTTTAAAAGATGGGAGTAATCGATAGTATACTTTGTACGCTGACATTTCCATTTGACATTAAAAGTGATTTTAGTCCCTCCCAATGGGTGGATAAATATATAAATGCAGCTTTGACTAAAAGTTACTGTATGCTAAATGCTAAGACATTAACGAGTGTTTATTACATTTATGGCATTTTCAATTCACTTTTGAGTGATAAAAATATTACAGATGGTAGTTTAAGACACATTAATGGTCAGGATGAATGAGATCTTACAAGTATATGTTTCTTTTTAAGGTAGTCTTTACCAATGAAATCTTAGGGTGCTGATAATTCACTAGCAGAGTGTTAGATTTCTATTTTATGCTAATCGCTGGTTGGGCAATGTGTATTACTGCTTTCTACATTTTTGAATAGATTTTCTGGGTTAAACATTTGACATGTACATTATTATTTTTATTATTATTATTCCCCTGCCTTCCGAGTGGAACATAGGGCTTCAACAACACATCTACACTTTGTTCTGTTTTCTGACGTCCTCTTCAGCTGGCTCTCATATCTTCCTCACACGATCTCCTCCATGTAACCCTCCCACAGATGACCCACTCGTCACTTCCCATTGGGATTCCACTAGAGGATCTGGAGGGCAATGTTGTTCGACAGTCTTCTCAATGCATGCCCAATCAATCCATATCCATTTTCTCCTGCATATGTGTTAAGCAATCGGGTCTTGGTTCGTTTGTTCATCGCCAGAGTTTCTTGTTGCTTATTCTTTTTGACCATTTGATCTTCACTATGGAGCCAGCGAAGACAGCTGTTGATGAAAGTCTGCCACTTGTTGGAAATCCTTTTCGTGACACGCAGTGCAAGTTTCTGACTTGCATAGAAGCACTGACCGACTTCACGTTAGTGTTGAAAATGCGAATCTTGCTGATGATGCTGGCTGAGTGCGGAAGAAGATTTCCAAATTGGTTTCAGACTGATGAAGGTGTATCTTGCCTTTCCGATTCTGACTTTGACATCTTCGTCCGTTCCGACTGCCTGTGGTTGAAACGATGCTTGTTGCCTAAATAAGTGAAGGAGGCAACCTCTGTTAAATCTCTCCCGTTGGTGGTGATTGGTGCTGGTTGTTGTTGCTGTTGGTTGGTTATCTTCATCCGCCTCCCGCCTTCTCTGTGTTCACCTACAGTTAGAAACTTGTAATGTGAATTGAATACATTTTAAGATTATTAATTATCTTCTGATTTGACTGGTAAAAATATCTTCCATATCTCTCGTATTTGCTTTTAGTCACTTGTATTGCATGTGTTGGGTGTAAATTATTCGATGAATCAGAATTCGGTAATCAATCTCTTTCTATCTCTACCTACTTATATTACTCGTTAGAATTTTGACTCTGTCCCCCCATACCTATTGTGTGGTTGTGTATCGATGCATGCATTGCTGAGTTTCTCTCTAAATACTTATCTTCGTGGGATCAGTCATTCTAACGTTAGCCGGATTCCTATGTTCTGACAATCTCACTACTCATGACCTACTAGTTTGACCTATGCAGTTGACTTAACTCACAGTCATTGCAAGATATTTTGTAAATTATATTATTTTATTTAATTGGGTCCAGTGGGTATATAAAGGAAGCAAGAAAGTTATGTGAGTACCTTGATATGATTATGAGTAGTAATAATTTTTACTCGAAAAGTCATCAGTTAATATTACTGTATAACACTGTGTGATTTTATCAAAATAAAATTTTTCCCATAAGGTATAGTTGAGACATACCGCATAAGCTTTAGGTTGCACTTGTATTCATGGAAAAATCGTTAATCACAATACTTTTAAAGTAATAGCGAAGATTTGTTGCCCAGGTGGAGGTTTTTGTAGCGTGGTTATGTTCTCTGAACTTGGTGATTCTCCTGTGAAGTGTTCATAGTTCATTGAAATACAAAATATTCACTGCCTGCTTCATTGCCTACATATATATAGCCTGCTCGGACAAGTTGGTCTGATATCATGAAATGACATCGGTTAGAGAACCATTGGAAAGCCACCTGGGAGTACTGGGTAGCTGTTTCGTCAGCCTAGTTTGGGACTCTTCATCAGTAAGCATCCACTGCCACTGTTCGAACCCAAGACCTTCTTGTTACAAGGCGAGTTAGCTCGTAGATTATTAAGCTACTGGGACTTAATCCAATGGTTCGAAACAGATATACAGTATTTTCATGTTTTCCAATGGTCCTCTAACCGTTTTCAGTTCATGATAAAGCTCTGAAAACAAATATTATTTTGAAAATTCAAATTTTGCACATTTAGACGAAAACAAAAATAAATTGACCGAAGGAATATATTCTTTTTCACTTAGTACCACATCATCAGCTCTCCAATAATAGACAGTTTTTTACATCAAAATTGCAGCAGTCATGTGGTTATTTTAATCCATAAGAATCGTTATTTTTAGATATAGGTGGTGGTGAAAATAAGAGGTCAAAACAAGTAACTATTAGGTGTTAGCTACGAGATAACTAAGTTTTAAAGAGGGGGTGAAAATAACTACGGAATTCAAGATTAGTTAATTCGTGGGCATTAGCGACGAGCTATTACTTAATTAAGGAATTTTTAAAGTAATGATAACTCTTAAGAATTACGTAAGATACGAACAAGTTAATTGAATTAGCCAGAATTATGATCATGATCACATACCAAAGTCAAAAATTAGTTACGAGTGGAGAGAGAAGTCGTTTCTAAAACTAAATGCATATTGTACAGTTGGCCAAGGCAAATTAAGGAAATGTGAAAAGTTCTTTTCAGTACACAGATTTGGTTTGTTTAGAGGAATCCTGATTGCCTCTACTGTATGTAAAAGTCGTACCCGAAGGCCATGTGATAGGTTGGGTCGAATAAGATAAACAACTTAAGAAGCTTTGTCAGAGTCATCTTGGTGTCCAGTATCGATGAAGTGAGCTAGTACTCAGCTGCGTATAGCTTTATTCGAACCACTGACAAACCAAGTTAGAAAGTGTTGAGAAATTTGACGACGAACCTACCTGATTGCACAAGCAGTGTAACTAGCTCCACACGGGTAGTTAAACTGGTAAATACACATGGAAGAGGTGAAACAGGGCAGTTTGTCTTTATTTCCTGATTTGAGTATTGGTTTTCTGATGATTACACAGCATAACTTAGTTGCGTTATAAGTCCTTTTGTAGGTCCTTTCA